TTTTCATGCAATAGGTTGAAATTATTTAAGGATTAAAATAAACCATAGTGTTCCTATACCTATCTGTTAACCTTAAGAAGTTATGAATTTTTAAGTGGAAGTGTATCAAATCCGGAAACATTTTATCCCCACATTTCAGCCAGGAAAGGGTTAATTAAGGCGTGGTTTGTTTTGATTGGTCAGTCATTATTAATTATTTTTCATTGATAGTAAACGTACCTATAAGCCTATTAATTAATAATCTTGACACATGAATTATTATTTTCATTGGCTAATTTGGCTCCTTAATTATTAATTGCAACAGCTGCACTGCAGTAAGTGCATTCACAGATTTGAATGAGTAACTAAAGACTGTAAAGAGAGTTATAATGGACTCTGACACTGAAGATTACAATCTAGGTCTTCTTTATAGTGATGTAAGCATCTGTATGATAAATTTAGTTATGACTCTTCAATGGGATCCAATGAACTCTAGACCTGCTTCTCCAATTCCCCCAAGAGACGAGCCCAGCAATCCTTCAGGACCACCAAGAGGTCGCAGAGCAGGGAGAAGACCACCAAGAGGCCGGGGAGGGAGAAGACCACCACATCCTCCAAGAAATCAGAAACCACCGCCAAGAAGTCCCAATCGGGATGCGGACCGTAGGGCTACAGAAGAAGTAGCTGACAGAGGTCGTGGCACAGCGGGGAGAGGAAGGGGCCGGGGAGCTGCAGGCAGACCAGGAGCAGGAAGTGGTGGTAGAGGTGACGGGTCTTCTGCTCCTCGTAAACCAGGCGGGCGAGGGAGAGGAGATAGAGGAACAGCGAGAGAGAGGTGGCAGTCCGCTCAACCTCACCACCATCAAAGAAGAGGAGGGAGAGGAAGGGGCAGGGGAGGGAGAGGAAGGGGGTCATGGCAGGGACAGCCCTCACAGTTAGACAGACTCATTGATATTATTGAACTAATTATTACCAGTAACCGTAATTACCGTAGCCAGTATTACTAAAGCCTAGTTGTATTATATATCATTATTATTTATAATGTCGTATCCCATTATATATAACACTCATTTATTCATTCAATAAGAATACTAGCATTTTATTACACAATGGTGCAGTCATGTTTGCCATTTGAGGCATGAGTGAGTGTGGATGGCTTGACTAGTGGATCATGTAGTATCCAGTGTGATATTCCTAGAATTGTTATTATGCATGGTGAGAATGAATGTTAATGAATGTTAATAATAGTTAGTTTACCTCTTGCATTAGACAGCTATCATTAGTTGTTAATAGCTCCTTCTAGTAACTACTAAAGTCAACTCTAATGTGTTATTTTGCTGCTCCAGTGCTCCTGAAGTCCTGATAGATTCCAAAATCTATCCCAACAAAATACTGTTCGAAGTCGCCATTTTGTTTTTTTGTGACACACCCATTTGACGTAAATGCATGGGCGGTGGTTGCTAAGGCAAATTGAAATTGTTATTTCTCCAATACATCATGTATAGAAGAAATGTAAGTGTGGACATACAAATATATGTAGATAGCGCGACGGTGAAAACAATTTTAGGAACGACCTGGGGGCTACGCCCCCAGGTCGTTAATAACTGTATAGACTTTTTTCAATGATATCCAATATCAGAAGTATAATGAAATACACTGAAGTCTAGTGATCTGGCTTAGGTACAGGTGTCTAAAATTATGAAAACTGAGCAGCTGTAAAATTATGTTGCACTCTGACGGCTCTGTTAGATTATATTTCGCTCTATGATAAAAGTAGCGTAATTTGTTCGAGTTATTTCAAAATAATTTACCTATTAGCTCTTAAAAGAACTGGTAATCACTTAGTCTGCGCACTGCTGAACACACAAGTATGCAGAGAAAGAGAAGAATAGAGCGAATATTCACCCAGTGCAGTCAGTCACTATGGCAAATCTGAGCATGCGCATTAAGTTTCAAAATGGCGACTAATTTTAAGGGGAGGTGATATCACGCCCAAATGACTAGTTTATAATCTAATATGAATGAAGATATGGAAAGCACCTTTGTAGTCCTTGACTCACGCTCCAAGGAATGATGGAAAGTCAACTTGAGCTGTTCTCAAGTTTAAAAGATTATCCGGTGCATACAAGAAGATGAAAGCAGAAAAAGTCTGAAGAATTTTGCAGAAATTTGAATTTGGGCCTATTATACAGAAAACCTTCTGCTACACTACAGTCCACTCTAAAGGTACCAGGAGAATCACTCAGTGAAGGAGAGCTCATCTAAGCCATTTATAAAGCCGTACAAGGTAAGATAGAAGAGTTATAATCATTTGAAAATTATAAATTTGGTCGCCATCTTGAAAAATCAACCTCAACCTTACATATAGGCTACCGCTTATATAATCTGTCCCATCCAGCTGGTACATCAATTTCAAATCAACTTTGTTTACCAGTAGCCTCTTCAATGACCCTTTATAAAATAACACAAAAAAAGAGAGATCTTTTGGAAGCATGTCACTGAATTCATCTAGCAGATGAGCCTTTACTTAACTTACAGACAAAAATTGAGAGTATTGTCCACAAAAGCTGTCACCGCCTCTCTTTTTCTTTTAGAATATAAAATTTTTACCTCGTAGGTATATTTCTGAGAGCTACCCTAAAATAAATATGTCAATGACATAATGCAAGCATTAACACTGGATTCATAACTTTTATCACACTGTAAAAGGTTGAGCCTGAGTTACAGTGAGTAACAATGACACGGTTGTCACTTGGGGTTGTGTTTACGATTGTATGCCACCTTGGTTCTCTACTGTAGAAGGCTAAATGACACTGTTAGTTACATTTCCTGTCACCATGTTTCTAATTGGAACACCTTTGGAGTGCTGCAGCCAATGCTTGTAGATGTTGAAAGTATGGCCATTGGCACTATACCACCTGCAATCTTATCATGTGACAATTATAGAGAATGATCCTACAGTATTAAATAATATGTATATTTGCAATCATGGTAAACCTATTATTAGTGTGTGTTCAATGGGTTAAAGTGTGAGCCACTACCCAAAGAATTGGAAAATTTGGATCCTTTAAGTTGCCAGTTAATACAGAGGGCCAAGTGTTTTCAGACAATTGTTAGGCTAGGCACACGGAACTTAAAAGTACATACCTATAATTCTTTGAAGGCTCTCAAAGGTCCAATTTTTAATTTACCCCTTCCATTAAAAAAGCAATGAAAACCTTAAATGAGGTCAGTATAAATTCTAATCATTTGCCTAATCCAGAACTTTATATTGTTATTAATAGACAGCCTACTAAATTAATTTCTGGCATATCCTACTTGATTTGAATAAAATAAAAGCAGCATTAAAAAATTAAAATAATGAATGGGCTTTAAAGAAATGTATATGATGATTTTATTAATGAAATGTCTAAAAATATTATACAAGCTGTTAGCAATACTACTTGTAAAATGCTTGAAAAAGCAAACGATCAAGATTTAGAAGACCCTTTGGCATGTACCATTAGAAGTCTTGTAAAATTGCAACAAATTCTGATATCAGTCAATATAAATTAATGAATGTAACAGACATGCTTATAAACAATAGACGAGCATTTTGTGTTAAGCTTTCCTACTTTATTTTAAACTGGACAATATGGAGTGCATCATTCCAGATCGGCACAAACTTTATCATTTAGTGAATACATAAAATCAAAAATTTTAAACGAAGATTCCTAATTTCATAGAAATCATTCATATTACTTGCACTATTACGGATTAAAAGTTAACAAGGCCTTAAAAACTGGCATACAAAATTTATTAAAAACAACAAGAGGCAATGTTGGTGAAACTATTGCTGAAATATTAGAAACAAGCATAACAGGATAAAAATATTCATATAATTGATTTCACCCACCTTGCGAATACAACTTGGTCATGATTAAGACTTAAAGAAGTTCTCTCTACCTTATAATGCTTCTAGAGAAGTGTTTTGACAGTATCTCTATGTTGCCTTGCTGTTACAAAGCTCTTCACTTTGTGCCATGTTTAAGCTGCCATCTGTGACCAAACCCACTACGGAAAGGAGCGTGGGCGTGTGTTTGCTAAGACTTATCAATTTTGTTATTTCTTTAATACAACATGTATAAAAAAGAAATGTTACTGTGAACATACATATATAAAGTCGGTTTCAGTTGAGTTGCCCAAGCACCACCCCTTATAACTTTTTTATTACTAATGCTAGCAACCTGAAACTTGGTATAGTTGCATAACGGGTTCTTCTGAAAATCTGTACCTATTTTTGAGTCTCTAGGTACTCTGGAAGGTTCTGAATGGGTTCTTCCGCTCTAGTTCAAAGGAAGCCGCCATGATGAATCATTACATTTATGCTACATCACACTCGTGAATATAATTTGCATCTCATTATTATTTTTAAAAATTAATTTTTTTTATTTTATAAAATAAAAGCAGACAAATAAGGTCCTCTAAAGTAGCAGGCATTCAACTAGCAGACTATACTACTGGGAAACATCTGCTATACCTGTCCACAGCCTTCTTGATCGCCGTTTTTCTTCATCACCCTCAACCTAGGTTGTTATCTTCCGTATTGGAGGTCTTTGTCAGCTTTGTGACAAAAAAAATCTAGCCAGTTATAATGAAAGGTAGCAAAGCAAGGATAAAATAGACAACAAAAGGTCTAGAAACGCTCAATGAAAGAGTTTGCTTGCACTTTGCCACCATTTTGGGTGTGGCTAGGAATGATGTTTTGTGATGCAAACATTGATTTACTTCCTGTGGCAACTCAAATGAAACTGACTATAGAAACATCGGACGTGGGTGAAATCAATTATAGGAACGACCTGGGCGCTACGCCTCCAGATCGTTAAAAAGAAAATGTATTAGATGAAGAATTTGAGGGCAGTTTAACCACCATGTGGGCTCCAATAATGGGCACAAATCAATATCGGTGTTGTGAGAAAGGTGAAGTCAAAGCAATGATTCGTGAATATGGATCGCCAACACTCTTTCTAAAATTAAGTTGCTCTGAATACGTTTCAGGTGATATAGTGCAATATTTAAGAAAAGTGAATAGTGCACCACAATCACAGTATTTCTGGATTGTGTACTGAGGACCTTCTTTCAGTATTGCAACAATTTTTATACAAGTTTAAGGATTTCTTTAATGTAGTCATTCTCCAGAGAGGTGTTTTAGGCAAAGTAGAGCAATATTATGTTAAAAAAGAATATCAAATACATGGACGCCTCATTATCACATTCTTCTATGGATTGAAAATGCTCCTGTTGTTGGTATTGATCGTGCAGAAGAAGTCTGTTCTTTCATACTAGATAAGATCATGTGTCATATTATCAGATAGTAAAACGTCGCAAGATTTAAACTTTTTGGTAAGAAAATACCAAATGCACAATTGCTGGAAATACCAAATGCACAATTGCTGGAAATACCAAATGCACAAGTGCTGGAAATTCCATATACTAGGATATTTTTGAGAAGCTAAAATTTCAATAATTTCTGCTCTTGAAGCATTCGCAAAATAAATTTTTGCAAATTGAACTGTTAATTTGTAAACCACACCCATTATGCAACTTAGACCACACCACTGCATTAATTAACACATTAAAACCATGCTCTATGCACATAATTTTATATGTGGACTGGATTCTCGATCAATAGACCTAAGCATGACTACTTACACAATGGAGTCTGGTATGCGTGGTTTTCATGTTTATAATGATATCCATGAGCTATCACAAGATATATTGCCTTGTATCAAGGAGTCTGGTAACAATAACGACCCATATGCTGTGGCAATGATGAATGGTAATGCTGTAGTAGGTCAAGTCACAAGAGTCATATCTGCTCTCTGTTCCAAGTTCTCATGCAAGGAGGTTTGCTTCAATGTAGGGTCACAGGACATCAATGCTATTCAAGGGATCTTCTACAGGGAGGTTTAGAACTCCCATGTTGACTCTACTAGTCCTTCTGCTGCTCGCTTAGAAAAGGTACGGTCTCGTCTTTAACAATGTTCTATAATAGCAGGTGTAACTGAAAAGAATGACACAGTTGAAACATTGGATAAAAGAATTAAGTTTGAAGATAGTACCGTTAAATTTGAAGAGATCATTACAGAAACAACTAAAGTGTGGCAAAGTTTTAACAAACATTGAGTAACACTAGTTAATAAACAAAAGTTAACTGATAGAAGAATGCTTGATGGAGGTCATTACTTTTACACATAGTGTATTAAAAAGTCCGTTTAGATGTTCGAAAGGTCTCGGCTGCACTTTCCATTAAAGCAAAGCAAGA